CGGGCCCTCCCCGCTCCGGCCGCCCCTCGTCTTTCTTTTGGGGCAGCCTCCAGCTGCCTTCTGCCCGCCGAGAGAGATCTCCAGGGCCGCGGGGCCACCCACGCTCAGGAGGTTCCCGGAGGGCATCAGGTTGGGGAAGGCTGGCGCGTGCGGCCCAGATGCAGGACGTGAACGGTCAGCTTGGCCCGAGAAGCCGGGTCCCGGCTTCTCTACCCTCCGGCCATAATCGGCTACGGCCTGTTGCAGACAAAGGAGCCGAGGGTCCCATCGCGCTTTTCGCAGCGGCTTCGCTTTCTGCCCTCTTAGCGCCTTGGGTGTAACCTGAATAGCCTTGGCATCTGTATGCCCTTGGAGATTTGTTTTTCCCTTTGCCTAACATTAGTAACCTGCCCAGCTCCAGAGACTCTGAGCGGTTACCATCCAAATTAGAACTTGCAAAATAACACTGATTGTTGTAACAGGAAGAAAATGCTACTAATTTTAATAACTAATAATTATACAATAATATATTATGGTCTAAAATATCATATATGAAATCTATATCTCTTATCACGTTGTATGTAATACGACGATAAGAATAGATGTCAAAGCGCATACGTGTTCTTAGTTTCCGCATGTCCCCTTAAAGAGCCAAGAGTTTGTCGCTCTGCACAGAGAGAGAGGAGTGGGGGAGCTGTTCGGATTTCAGGGGCAGCATATTTTACGGGATGGGGCAGCTCTTGAAAAAAAAATGTTTCCGGGTTTATTCCCTCCCCCAGCTGTCAAGGAGCGCTGAATTACTGAGTTAAAACAACACATTGATGGGAAAAATGCAACAAAGTAAATCTACTGCAATGAGTTGTAGTCATCACCTTACATTTTCATTAGCGGAAATTGGGGATTTTTTAACCTGTGTAAGAAACTGGCTTAGAGGTAGCTGCTGCACTGACCCCTTTGGGTGGGACCTTCTCCTTCCGTTGAGGGAGAGTGTAGGCCGGAGCCTTCTCAGAAGACTGAAGCACCAAGTGAGGCTCGTACAGGACTAGATCTAGAAGCTGAGCCCAGTTCTGTATCTCTGGACCTTCGGGGACAATCATTCCCCCCACCCTCCAATTTGGCAGGCTTAACGCAAGTCCAGTTCCACGTCTCGTTCCTTCGGCAGGGATATAGAGAAGGAGCTGGTAGCAGGTGCGTCTGGCCGTTTAGTTAAATGATTCCTTGGCCTGTCCTTCCCGAAGGTGGCTCCTGTACGTGCTGATCACCAACTGGTGCCGGCGACGACTCCAGGCAGAGTTGAAGATTCACTCGTTCCGGGTTTTTGGGATCCAGAACCTCAGCTTGAAGTTCCAAGAGGAGCAGCAGACGGTGGTGAGTAGGGAGCGGCTTGTGGTCCCTCCAGTGACACATCGGTAGTATCGAGAGGACTGTTTGGGGGTGCTGGATGGTGGGCCGGTGATAATTTGGGTTGTACTACTGCTGAGGCGCGGTAGAGAGTACGTCCCTCTGAGCAGGCTAGAGAAATAACCAGGGCCGTGCACGTTCAGCCATCGTTTGTGTCTCGGGTCTTTGTTGTTTCAGGAGATCGACAGCATCTGGCTCTCCAGCAGGCTCCTGAACCACGATGTGCCGTAAGCCTCTTGGGTGGTTTTGGGTCCCGCGGGCTTCTGCTTTTCAAACAGACGGCCCCTAGGAAGCCCTTCCCTCAGGCAGGGGGCTGGCCCTTGGCCCGAGGATGGATCTGGGAACTCCTGGAATTCCCAGCCAGCTTTGCCCCATTCTTGGGACATAAAATTGGGCTCAGCGCATCCTATCAAAGTAGCAGGAGAAAAGGGGAGGGGGCGCTTCTGTGTCCCCAACCATAAGTGCCCATTAGAAGCCACGATAGTGCCCTCATTGGGTTGGCATCACATTATGCGATTATCTGTGCTATTTGTAGAGTGACATCCTGAGGCGTGCGATGTCGCTCCATCTCTGACCTCATCTCAGCAGAAGGTTTTTCAGGGTGGGAAGCATGCAGCCCCTTCTACCACCCAGCCCCATCAGTTGTGGTTCCTCTGCAGGCGCTACCTGGCACTGTGTTTTGGAGAAGTGCGCGTCCGGGTGGACCTGCAGAAGTCACCTGACCTGCAGCCACCTGCTCCCCTGGATCCTGTGCCAGCTGACAGGGCCCAAGGTGAGGCGCTGTCCCTCGGGCCCTCACTGCTGCAGCTGCTCAGCCAGGTAAGACGCCGGTCGACAGAGGAAGGCAGGCTGGGGTCACGCTCCTCTTGGCAGGCTGTGCTCATAAAGCCCTCATCTCTCTGCCCCCCCAGCTTTGCTCTTTCCACGTGGACTCGGTCAACATCATGGTCCTGCACGTGGCGGCATCGGAGTCCCTGTGGCACGTCCAGGTGTCCAGGTCCCAGGTCTTGCTGGGCTGTGACGGCAGGAGGTGAGTCTGGCTGGCATTGTCCTCAGCCTCCCCAGGCCTCTGGGGAAGGAACGAGGGGGGCAGGGGGAGTGCCTGCTGGCATGCAGGGGGTACCAGGGTGACCTCTGCCTGAAATCCAGAGGAGCTGCCATCTGTTCTCGGGAGGGCGCTGAGCACCCACTGTGCAGGAACAATTACAGATGAGTCCTTGTCCGCCCCCCCACCCTGGTTGAGTGCTGCTGGATGAGTCAGACTGAGGAGGCCCCCCCACCCGCCCCCGGTTCATCTGCAAAGCAGGCAGGTCGGAGGCTTCTCCAGCAAACGTGCTCTAGCTCAGCACAGTGTCGAAATGTTAAGGTGTGGCGTGTTGTATGCTTTGCTGATGTGTCTGGGGAACATGTGGCCCTCCAGGTGGTGTTGGGCTTCAGCTAGGTCAGGGTGGTGGGAATGGTACTCTAGCCAGGTCTTCTCCTCTGGTCAGTCCCCTCTTGGAGCCGGTGTCCAGTTCTGGGCACCCAGTTCAGAAAGCACAGGGTCAAAGCAGAGCACATTCAGAGGGGGGCTGTTGAGGGGCTGAAGATTTGGAGACCAAGCCCTTTCAAGAATGATTGAAGGATCTGGGTATGTTTAGCCTGGTGGGAGATTACCTTGACAGAAATATGAAAGAACTGCCAACTAGGCAAAGGGGGCTAAAGCGTTTTTAAAGTCTAGAATGTCCAGATAACGTTTGGAAGCAGATCAGGCAGACACCCCCCAGTTCATTGAGGCGTAAGAAGAAGGGGAGGTTGAGCACAATCAGGCCTGCAAGATTCTGCTATTACAGCCCACCCCAATCAAAGAAGTTTTAGCCTTCCTGCGCAGTTTATTTCCTAGTCCGGTCTACCTGGTGTGGGTGACATCTGCAGAAGAGACGACGGAGGGCGGGAACGATAGCCGCCTTTCAGATGTCTGAGGAAGAGCTTGAGGCTAAACTTTAGGGGGAACTTCCTGACTCTCCGAGCTGCCCACCGACGGAACAGGTTGCCACATGAAGCAAGGTGCTTCCCTTCACCGGAGGCCTTCAAATAGCCATCTGTCTGAAACACTTCAGCAGATTCTACAACGAGCAAGGGGTGAGACTAGATCATCTCTGTGGGACCATTCAGTCCTATGATTTTGCGATTCCCCAGTCCTGACCCAGGTCATCTGGGCTTGTCCAGTGCACTTAACTGGGTCAGGTAAAGACCCAGCACCTGCATTTGGGCATCACAAAAGACTGGTTTAATTTTAACCTGCTACGCTCGTTTTGGCTTAGCCTGTGGAGTGAGTCCAGCCTATGTGTTATTCTACGATTTGCTGTATTGGTGAGATGCGGAAACCAGAATGTTTTGGTAATCGGGTTAAGCGCGTTGGGTGAACCCAGCCAAAAGATGCGGTTCGGACATGGTGACCAGCTGGGGTTGTGGTGGTGGAACTCGGCGGCCTAGAAACTCGGTGGTTCTAGTTTTATGCCCGTTTATAGCTGGACAGAGTCTCCAGTTAAGACACGGCTGATTCCCTTGGTCTGCCTGGAAT